ATGAGAGTTGGTGGGGATGAGAACCTGACTGCAGAAAGTGAAAGCAAAAGAGAAAGAAAACAGCAGAGAAAACGAGAGATAGCAGATACAGGTTACTCTTTTAAAAAATTGGGGGAGCAAAAAGGCATAGCAAGTTATAAATAACTATTTAATGTTGAGTTTTCTTAACGTATTTCAGTAATATCTAGAAAGACTTGTCAAGCGATGGTCCCAACAAGGAAAATGCTCATTCTCTAAGACAGCTAGATTTAAAAGATCTAATTTTGAACTACTGTTTTTTAAATCACTCCTATTACGTGTTTTCTCTAAAGTCCTTCCAATACCCAACATGTGCAACCAGCCCAGCGATGACCACCAAGCCGCCATAGGAAGCACCCCAGGCTCTCCCCAGCTGGGATGGTGGGGACCTCAGGCCTCAGCTATGCCCCCCAACACGTGCAACCAGCCCAGCAATGACTGCCAAGTCATCACAGGAAGCACCCTGGGCTCTCTCTCCCAAGCCGGAGTGGTGGGGAGCTGAGGAACTCTGCCATGCCCCCATGACATCTGCAACCAGCCCAGCAATGACCACCGAGCCACCGCAGGAAGTGCCCCAGGCTCTTCCAAGCCGGAGTGGTGGGGGGCTGAGGGTCTCTGCCATACACCCACCCCGACATGTGCCACCAGCTCAGCAATGACCACCAACCCGCAGCAAGAAGGGCCCTGGGTTCTTGAGCTGAGGTTGTTGGGGGCATGGGCTTTTGCCACACCCCCCTGACATCTGCACCCAGCCCAGCAATGACCAAGCCACTGCTGGAAGCCCCCTGGTCTCCCCTGTGGGAATGAGGGGGGTACCACAGGCCTCAATCTCGCCCCTCCTCCTTCCTCCTTCTTCCACCCTATTTCCTTCCTTTTCCCCCCTTTCCATCCCCCCCAACTGTGCTGCAACATCTTGGAATATAAAAAATAATAGTAATATTAAAAAAATAAAAAAATCCTACCAATAACAATAACAGCAGATGCCCCCCCTTTCCCTCCCCCCCAACTGTGCTGCAACATCTTGGAATGTAAAAAATAATAGTAATATTAAAAAAATAAAAAAATCCTACCAATAACAATAACAGCAGATGACAGCATTGACACTTTCATTCAAGATGCTAACATATTTTTGAGAGAACCTTTACATTTCTTATGATGTCTGACAACAGAAAGGGCTTATATAGGAATTTTTTAATGAAGAAAAAAAGGAAGGCATCATTTAATTTTGTTTTTGGGAAAAAATTCCCTATTAATTTTGGGGGAAGGTTTCTGGCTGATATTCCCAGAGCTAACTGAATTTTCAGTAATTTGCTATTAGTAGTGACTATAGTTGCTGAACATTCTGCTAATGAATATTTTATAAAGTAGGAGGAAGATATTAGGTCTCAATTTGGATGACTGCCAAGTCAAAATGTCTCACCTTGATGTGGCTTAGCTCCAGTCTCACTTTTTCAGCTGCCCGAGGCTATTTCCATCTTAATGCTCCATTATTAACTTAAATTCAACAGCGTAAAATCTAACAAACTCTTCCTGATGACTTACTTACTTTTACTACCAGGACCATTGACCTAGTCATCCACACTCAAACTTTCAACTGAAATCATTAGAGCTACTATTTATCAAGTGCTTCCTCCTGGGGATTTTGCTGAGAGTTTAGCAAACGTATGTATTTAATCCTCACCAGAATCCTCTAAGGTGGGTACCAGCATCATCATTACTTAACAGTGGAGAAGCTGTAGTTTAGCGAGATTAGTAATTTACTTAAGGTTATTTAGCTAGTGTCTGGGACAGAAGGATCCAGATGTAAGTCTGCAAACATCCAGAGCTTGAAACTTTCAACTCCCTTGTCATATTGCCTTAGTGTCACATTTGACTCTCCCTTCCCCTTTGCCTAATCCTATAGACATTGTCCCTATAGTGTCCCATACAACTGTCCTCTCTTTTCCTTTTTCAATGCCACTGCCTAGTTCAGCCTCTCATTACCTGTCACCTCTCCTAAGTGGTCTTCCTGCTCTTTTCCAACAGATTTGTCTTCTTGGAGAGTCACTTCACTTATATTACTAGCCTAACTGAAAACCTTCAGTGACTACCCATGGGCTGAGTATAGCTTTCTTACCTGGACATTCACCATGTGCCCTTCCAATCTTAGTTCTAACCACTTATCTTCAAGAAGAGTGTTTTTTTCCAGTCTAGACTTCTTCCCATACTCCTCTGCTTGTTGAAATTCTACTTACTTCACAGTCTAGATTAAATTGCTACTTCTCTTCATGAAGCCTTCCATGATTCCCTCAATCAGATAAAGGTATTCCGGACTTATGAAAACATAGGCTAGCTTGTGGCCGCTTATGTTTTTCTCTTATCATCCCTATAGGATCCTAGTTCTTCAAGGGTTGAATTGTGTATGGCTCTTATCTGTATAGCTGGGAGTTATGTGGCACAGTGCAATGCACATGATTATTGCTTTAAAAGTAAAAATGAATTAAGATTTATTGTTAGGTGCTGTCAGGATATGTGCTCTGTGTACTCAATATGTTTTCAGTCTAATAAGGAAAACAAAATATTCAAAAATTAGCTAGAGAACTCTCAGGAACTTAACTATGAGAGTGGTCAGAGAAGAGAGAGAGAACAGGAGGGAAGCCATGCATAGAGAAGGACGTAGAGAAAAGGTGAGACCTGAGTTTGATGCTGAAAAGTGAAGAAGTTGCTCAAGTGAAGGGGTGTGTTCTGAGGTCAGGAAAAGCACGGGTGCAGGCTCCTAGGTAGGGATGGGCACGATTGGTCTGAGAAGAAGGATGGCACTTTAGGAACAACTTTTGAGAGAGAAAAATGCCAGGGAAGTTCAGGGTGTTTCAAAGTAAAACATGTCCTTCAAATTTATAGTGTCATTTCTTTAAGTTTCCTATCACAAGGCTTTGTGTGATAACTAACATTCTCTCAGGCTAGTCACAATTAGTAATATTTTACTGTATATTGCTATATAATTTATAGAATTCATCATTAACTATCTGAATTATAATACAGGACAATATGTTGGCAAACTGTTTTCTTTTTTTCTTTTCTTTTCTTTTCTTTCTTTTTTTTTTTAACCGACATTGTGTTTTTTTTTTTTTTTTTTTTTTTTTTTTTTTTTTTTTTTTTTTTTTTTTTTTTTTTAACCGACATTGTGTTTTAAGGTTTCAATTCATTGTGTTTTAAGCCTAGGGCAGATAGTAAGAAATTATCTCATAGATTAAAAATTAGAACTCTAAAACAATAAAGCCATTTTTATTTTTATAATAGACTTTCTACATTCTAAAGAAATTTCTTCATTCTAATTTATACATGCAAAATTGCTATGTGATTGCCCTGTTATTTTCCCAAGAGGTGAGATGTTCACAAATGTGTAATGAAAATATGAAGCTCATTTACTTATTATGCTTATAATCTAATCCAGGTTCAAAACTGGCCTATGGAGATTGGTAAATATCGGTTGTGATAAATCATTACACAGACATATTTCCACTAAAGCACTAACAGAAAAAATAATGAAAATTGACAAAATCATTTTGAAAATTCACTTTAAAAGCCAGAACAAGCCAAAGAAAAGGGATTTAAAAAGTACCCATTTTTTATTACATGTCATTTTGGGAAAAAATAAGACACCAAAACATTTTAAAATTATAAAGCATTGACTGGTTTTCCATTTGTTATATTATTTTTGATATGAATTACACATCATTTTTTTCCTTAAGACTACAGCATTGCTAATTTTCTCCACATATGTACAATTTGTCTTTGACCTCTAACAAATGTCCTCTAGGCAGTCCACTTACCATCCAAGAACAACGTCACAGCATCATTTTACATGCACACAAAGGCTTGAAAGCTCTATTAAAATAAATGATCCATGGTCCAAGATACATTAACCAGCAGGATAATAAGCCATTTTAGCCCCGTAAATTTTAGTGCCCATACATTCAAAACCACACTGGGTCACTTTAGTATTAAATTCATAGGAACAAAATGGTAAATACACATGTTTTATTTGTTAAGCTGCCAGCTATATATTTTACATAAAAGTTCATTAGCCTAGGAAAACCTATTCAAAAGCACATTAGGCAGTGTATATTTAAAAGCAGTGTCTCCTTACAATACATGATTTTATGTTACAGATACATTTACTATTAAGCATCATGTATATTTAATATCACAACGTCTACTTTAGTGCCCTAAAAAGCCTTTGCTCACTTTATAGTTTCCATTACTGAAGAGCCAACATTCAGTTCTCCCATAATTTTGTAAAGTGCAGGCAACCTACAAGAGCTTCTAGATTTAGCTTGTGGTCCTGTGGGACCACAATAATTGTTATGAAGTCATTAATTCTACCTCGGCAGTTTCAACTGTCAGGTACATGTAACAATAATTGCAGTTAATGAATGCTGCTCAATTTATTAAGTGCAAAATGAAAACCAGTATCCTTTTATATGCAGCAGTGAGGCATATTGACATTTATCATTTCTGTATACCTACCATGTTGTATACCTACTGTCATTTATTGGTCAGGGTATATAACCATATATTTTTTTTAAAGCTTCTTTATATTAAAAAGTAATAGAGGAAATTCTAACACTCTAATTGAAGAGTAATTAAAATAATTAGTACCCAAAGTAATATTTAATAAGAATCTATGTCTATGATAATCAATCCAGCAGAACCAAGACTTAGTACCTGCTTTGGATAAACAAGATTCTTTCTTGAGCCTCCCCACCCACCCCTCATCCTTACAAGAGTGTGAAAAATTCTAAACACTTCCAGTTATTTAAAATATTAGTGTTGTTTAGTTGTTTAAAATATTAGTTTTGTTTAGCTGTTTAAAATATTAGTGTTGTTTCTTTTTCAAAGATTTTGGCAGTAAAGCTTTTGTGTACATAGATACAGCCTGTTTCATGATTTTAAAAAGAACTAGATTTCTTATTTTTACACACATACACAAAAGATTTCTTATTTGCAATCACTCAAAGTAAACTGCATAGACACCTGCAAGAGCAAAGAGAGAAGAATTTCGGAAAACATAAGATGAAAAGGTGTCACTTTTAGGATCCCAGAGACATCTGCTTCCAATAAATATGCTCTGACTGTTTAGTTGTCCAATGTGAATAATCACAATTAGTTTATATCTTGGAATCATCAAGTCCTTGACTTGGGCTTTAATTACCTAGAAATTAAAAAAAAAAATGAGTTTCCTCATTTGAAACTCAAAAATCTTAACCTTTGTCTAAATACAGTGGATTTAATTTAAGAAAATACCATAATGTATTGTAGATACTTTCAGCAACTCTTGTATAACCATAATCATGATTTTCCTTCAAGCATGAGATAGGACATTCAGGGACAAAATGATAACACCAGCAATAAATCTACACTTTCTAAGGTGTGGAAAAACTGTAATTCAGAATACAGAATTTAATGATTATTACATCATCTGAAAAGTCCATGTTAAGATGGCTTCCCTTCAAAGAATGTTGGCATTAGTTACACTGTCTTGTTCATGTCTAATTAAGAGACCATAAATCTGGAGTCTCTTGTAATATGACTAATCATGAATGTTTATTAACAAGTGTTATAAAAAAGACGGTAGAGAAAACCTTGATAAAGTGTCAGCACTGAGGTTGATAAAACATAAATGTACTTAAAGACCACAATGTCTGTATTTGATGGCACAAATACATGCAAATGATGCACATAATTATTGTAGTAGACAAAGGCTTTTTATACACACACACACACACATATGGAATATGACCTAATAAATATTTTCATAAAATATAAATATGCATTTTAACTGCTACTGCCAATTAATTCCCTTCATCAAAAAGTAGAGGGTGTTATGCTTTCAACAAATATTCTAGTTATAGTTAACACTTTGGGAAATCACATATGTACCTCAGAAATCGTTTTAGTCATCTGTCTACAGAGTTCTGGTTCATATTTTTCTTCTTGTAGGTAGTTAGTTAACACATCTTTCAAAATATCATTGACAGTGACCACAGGAAAATGTTTGGTAGGACCTGAAAATATACACAGAATTTCTTTCTAAGAAGTGATTTCAAATTATATCTACCTATCCCATAGGCTAATCAAAAGATTATTGAAACATACAGAGACATTAAATGTTTCAGGTGGCCTCTACTTAAGGAAAAAAGAAGTCCTAATTAGGTTTCTAGTGAGGTTCTCTGGGAGGGACTACAAGACAACAGACTCCTACATTTACCAGATTACCTAAAAAGTGTGCTCAATACTACTGATGTTTGACATTCAAAGTCTTCCTCACACCAACCTTCCCACTACTAGGGACTACAAAGTCTCAACATCTTTCTAACTGGTTCCCCAACTCTTGTATCTCCCCCTCCAATCTATCTGCCAGATCTCACAGTGACATTCCCCTTAACAAGGTCTAGGGTTTGGCTCCTACCCAACCTCTGCACTCTCCTCCCATCCCAAAGCCCCCATGTGCATGGGACTCCAATCTCCCGGACTCCATCTGTCTTTCAAAGCATGCTCATGTGTCCTTGTTCTTGCTCTTTTCTTCAAATGGAACGCTATTCCCCATCTTTTCCATCTGAGAAAAGCCACTCATGTTTCAAGTCCAGGTAGCCTTCCTTCTCCCTTCAGGTAAAAATCATCCCTCTCTTTTCCCTACTCCTGATACACCAGGTCCCACTGCAATCCTGGCTCCTAGTCCACTTAATGAGAGCTAAGGCATAACTGCATTTCTGTCCAGTAAAATGTAAGCAAGATCAGACTTTATCCTTCTCAGAATCTACTACAATGCCGAAGGCATAAGGAATGTTAATGTATGATTTCTGAATTTAAATAGTATTAAATATTTTATAGATAACAATCATTGCACAAATAATGGCTACTTTTTGTTGAGCATTTTCTATGTCAGACACTATGATAAACACTTTAAATTCATTTACCTTATATATATTCCATAGATCTCTGAAGTGAATCTCACTGTTATTCCCACTTCAGAGATGGAGAAACAGACGTTTAAATACATTGAGTAACCTGCCCAGAATCACACAGTGACAGAGCTGGGATGCACGCGAGATTTATTTGATGCCAGAGCTTATATTCTCAACCACATTCAGTCTACGTTCAGAGCAGAAGCTTCAGATGGATCTTCTTTATCCTGCACCCCAGGAATGCTAGCCTCATCATCCCTCTGGTTATATGCTCATGTCACTGTACGACATGCACGTGTGCCCAGGCCTGGCATACAGAGGCTCAACCATCACTTGTAGAGTTGATAAAGATGATGGAGTAAGATCAAGAATCCTATCCAATTCTCTTTTAATTGTCATCAGGATCTATTAAGTGTTTATATTCAGTGACTATACCAGTCAGGGTCAAAGGAAACATATGGCATGCTAAAGTTAGCACAATTCCAGGAGGATTTAATAAAAACACTTTTTAGGAAGGTCTGGGTAAGATGCACAGGGAAATCACAGGGATAGTGCATACCCCTTGGCTAGTAGAAGGGAGGGTGTTACTCTCACCACACCGAGGCTTGAGGAATCTAGAAAGGGAGCTCATACCAGATCCCAGAAGAGTTATTTAGACAGGGCTCCCTTGAGAGCAGCTTATGACCTGTGGTTGAGGGAAGTAACCTGTCTGAGATGAACCCACAGGCAGGGAGCCAGGGAAATAAACACACCAACCTCACACTTCTCTCTCCATCTGCCTTCCTGCTGAGGTTTCCCATCGGCTGAACTTAACCAGCCTGTGACTGTAGTCCAGTTAGGTCAGCCTCCCAAGGCTCAATAAATAGTATTTTTACTTTGATGATAATTAGGAACTGTTCAATTTAATTTAAATCGGGGTGGGGGATAAATCTGAACATATAAAGTGGAGACATCTGACACAATGACTCTAATAATTAACCCACAGAACAGAGACAAGCAGTTATAAACCTGTGAAGGGTAGGTCTTGCTTCGGGGTGGGGGATAAATCTGAACATATAAAGTGGAGACATCTGACACAATGACTCTTAATAATTAACCCACAGAACAGAGACAAGCAGTTATAAACCTGTGAAGGGTAGGTCTTGCTTGTTCCTGCTTCTTGGGCTCAGAGATAGGGCAACAGATACAAGTACCCCTGTAAGCAAGCTCCTGGCTACTTACAGACCTCTGTGTCACCTTCCTGTGCATCTTTTAAAAGATTTCCACTTTCATGGTCTTGTGAAATGAAGCTAAATTTGAGGGTGATTTCCCCCTTTCTGTTTAAGAAACTTAAAAATGGTACCACTAGCTTTGACTAAATTAAACAGATTAGGTCCTTTAGATTGACACCCTTCTCTTTTTCACTGCCTCCTTCTAAGCACTCACATTGCATATACCTTGCCTGACCTACATCGTTCACCTGGAACTTAATTCTGCCCCACATTATACCTACTTGCAGGCTCTGTTCTCTTCAGAAAATAGTAACTTCCGTTAGTGCAAATATTTTGTCTGCCTAGTACTCCCTGCTTTCATTTGGGAACAGGATGTCCCCGTCTAGGAACTGGTTCTTTTCCTACTCTAACCAGGTTGTTCTTTCAGATTTATGACTACTTCCCATGAGGTAAGTCCAAGACCAGGGCATGGTTGGTTGACTGGGGGTGAAGGACAGGCCAATTAGAGTTCCTTCTTGAAATTTTTATTTTAAACTGGAACTAGGTAAAAAGAATTAACCTTTTTCTGGTGGAAAAAGTTATGACATGTGACCCTTAAGAATTGCTGGAGGCCATGTTTTTCATGGTGGGAAGGCAGCCAGGTCACAATGAGAGAAGGAAGCTACATATAGGTTAGTACTGGAAAGAGAATCCTGGTGGCACTTGATTCCCTGCTTCCAGTAGTTCCTGTGTTCCAGCTGTACCAATGTCCTTCCCACACTTTGCTGTGTTTTTTAAAACTCATTCACCAGATTCTGTTTTGAAAATATTTTGAAATATAGCAATGAAATTTTCTTATTTTACTTCTTCATGACCTTTCCCTTATGTATCCAGAATCACCCACTGCCTTTCTCAGATTGGGCTGTTGAGATACAAAGAGTCAATGTTCAGCTTTTGACTTCCAAAACTAGCTCCTGAAGCTACCTTCAGAGTCAGCTAATGTGAATGGCAAAGCTGCTCTTCTTCTTTTTAATTTTTGAATTATTATTATTATTATTATTATTATTTCCTTAGGAGGGAAAAATTGTTTTAGAAATCAAAAGGCAAAGACCTGAAGGGTCAAGACAAAAAAACCCCCAAAACCCTAAAAAAACAAACAAAACTTATCTTTACGAGATTTAAGAAAGGATAAAGATATAATTAACATAACTATGCCTCAACTGCCCCAAATTGGGGGTAATAATAAGAATTACAACATATTGGTTTTGTTAGGTTTAAATTAGGTAAAATATTAAAAATGTTTAGGATAGTGCCTGACACACAATAAACACTCATTAGATATTTATTCTTATTAGAATTTTTCCTGTTATTGTGGTTGTTGCATTCTGCAGGAGGAGATGGCATTTGCCTTGCTGAGAAGGCAGCAAGATGGAAGAGGCTGTAAGGGGACGACAGTGAGGGCCCATGGTTGGGAAAGGACCCCACGGGGTGCCACAGTCAACTGAGAGAGTGGCAGGTTCTGTCTACGAACACCTGACATCAGAGACAGGCCCTGAGCACCTCATGGAAGCTGAACTCAAACGATCTCTTTCTCTCCCTCGATATTTGGGATCTACTTTCCATTATGTTGGCTTCATTCTCAGGCAGGATATCTTGACGTGGCAGCAAAGATGGCCTCCAAAAGTTCTTGTCTGACCTGGTGCTTATAGTCTGTGTTTTTAAAGGATAACACATCATCGCTCCATAAAAAGTTCTGCGAAGCACTTATTCCACAATTAATAGGAAGTTATAGTGACTATCATGGGAGGCTTTTATTCTTAGTGATATATGGCAAGGTCCTAGAGTCAGTCACTTTGGGGAGCAATAGCATAATGAATGGAGAAGAAATTTGAATTTATTATTCCATTTGATTCTCACAGTATCCCTATGATGTACAGACTATTTCCCCAATTTATAGATGAAGAAACTGAGATTTAAGAATGCCAAACACCTTGCTCAAACATCATTTCATTTGATTCTCACAGTATCCCTATGATGTACAGACTATTTTCCCAATTTATAGATGAAGAAACTGAGATTTAAGAATGCCAAACACCTTGCTCAAACATCATTTAACTAAGAACTGGCAAAACTAGTACTTGAATTCAGATATATCAGATCCCACAGCCTGTACTTCTATGCTCTTGTTTCAGTAATTAATTAATGAGAAAATGTAAATGGTGCTTTATTACAAGAAATATAGCTTCTTTTTTCCATCCCTTTTTTCTTCTCATGAATTTTACTCATGTTTCATCTCAGTTTTGGTAGCTATAATTACTTAGATAAAGGGAGGACAAACATGCTACATATTTAAAATGTGTTTAGATGATGCAAACATTGTTGGATAGAATGAAAAATTAATTAAACACAATAGTGCTAGTGATTTGACTTATTACACCCCGCCCCCCATTCTTCTGGCCAGTGTTACATTGTGTATCTATGAGAAAATCTTTACCAAAGGCCCACAAAGTACCTTTTACCTGCAAAATAAACCCAGAAGCAAGTGCAAGCGGAAACATAGTTTGGATTGAGTATTGATAAAATGGCCAGTTGAACGCTTATGGATGTATATTGTCAAGCATAAAAGATTTTAATCATAGAATAATCCACACAGACTTTTATAAGAAAATATGAAAATATTTTATCCATACTGAGCTATCTCTAAAATTGCTTTTCTAACACACAGTATTTCTAAAACTGATAAGATGATTTGGTTAGTATATTTGAGGAAATAAGTTGTGAAAACATAGCCTCATGAAGAAGAAACACAAGGATTCACATTTCATCTACTTTACCTTGTTGAAATCTGCACAGCTCAAAGTCATAAGCACCCAATGGCTAGGAACTTTTAGTTGCAAGTGGGGAAAATCCTGACCCAAACTTGGCTTGCCTAACTGAAAAGTCTAAGGATAGCTAGCTGGATTTAGGACTCAAATGATGACATCAGGATTCGATTGTTCTCTCTGTTTCAGGCTCCATGTAAGGGCAAGATGGCAGAAGCTGCTATAGCCCCTACTTGTTTGGGATCCTGGGTCTTATCTGCTTTTCCAGCAGGCCAAACATTTCCTGAATTTCATCTCAAAGACTTTGATTGTATTAAACCAGGATTGCATGCCATCCTAGAGTCAGTCACTGCTTCATCTGTGAAGCCAGTGTAAGCTACAACAGAATATTACAGATCAAAGGTGGTGGTGATGGTGATGGTGGGACTTCACCAAAGGAAATTGTGTAGGGCTACCAGAAGGAGGATTAAAGTATATTGGATGGCAGGAATATTAGCTGTCAAAGGCACTATGAATATACCAGTAGATTGTCTAATCATGAAGCCCTGTAATCCGTGTAGTCTTCGTGATTACTGTAGAAAACTGGCTACAAAGCCTAATGGGTTGTGCTTATGGTCTATAATTTTCCTGGGGTTAACTGGCCACAGATGAATCACCCTGGCCCACAGAGTCTTACTATGCCCCTTGTAAGTCTCAGTGGAATTTCTATATAGCAGTAATTATATATGGATTCAGGTAACAGTGGGAAGGTACACATTTAGAGAAAACAAGTAGGTCTAGGAGGAAACATGAATGGGAAAATATACTCGCCATGGACTCCATCTGGGAGTATAGGGGCAGGTGCAAAGATCTTTGTTTTCAAAGACCTGAAACCTCAGTGGTAATGGATAAACATCTCTGTCAACAGGGGACCATAAATCACTTCCTTGAGGTTTTTTCCCCCTCCTGTCAACAACATTGCTTGGTTTTGTTGGATAAAACATTAATGCATATCTCTTTCTTTTAATACACACACACACAAACACATATAATATATATATATATATATATCCACCCGGAAATACCCAATGAACTTCTTAATTCAGTAATTTACTATACATATCAGTGTCACTCAGTGAATTGCTTGGTATTCAGGAAACACTGGTGAAGAAAACTAGGCAATGGATATTGCTCCCATTTTGCAGAGGAAAAAACTAAAGCAGCATATCATGCTAGGATTAAAGATAATGTTAGGTTATCAGATATAATTTTAAGTAAATGTCAGTCACCAAAGTAGACATTTAAAATAGGGGTGAAAGATAAAATTACACACCCAGCTGATAGGAGTTTTCCATCTGAACTGTAAGGTGAGAGACATCATCATGCTGGTTAGGTTCATCCATATAAGACACAGTACTCATGGAGCTAAGAGCAAGGGAGAAAATAAATTTTTAATCATTATTATAACAATAATAACAAAACACGGTATTGCTTTAAGCTAAAAGGTTATAAAGGTAAAGTTTTCTCTAAAAAAATTTCAAGTCCTATGTAAATATCCAGTGACATATTTAAAGTCTAAAACATTTTAGAGATGAAAATGCTAAGATGTAGAGAAATTACGTGGAACAGGTCTCAATGTAGTGGTTGAAGCCCAGTGCAGTTACGTAGGTCATCTGATTATCCAGAAAGTGTTTCTGGGTTGATCTATGTCTATAAGGTAACAGAGTACATGTTTCAAATGGCCTTGCCTGTCATGTCTCTGCCACAGATGCAAAGGCTCTCTTCAAAGTACACGAAGCTCAATAATAAGACTGGAGAATATATGAGGAAGTTTAAAATGTTGGGAAACAATTCTATACATACATGGGGTATTATAAAGAGTTCACGATTATATGTACCTCACAAAATCCCCTTAGTATAAAAAAAAAGAAAAACTAATCTACAAGGTGAAAAAAACCGCAATTCACCCAAACTATCATAAATCAATAAGCATCAATAACCCTTTTCAACATTAAGAAAGGGTTTTGGCTTGGTTACCAAGGCAATATGAGCTTTCCCAGGTGCTAAACAAGAGACCCAAGCAAAGAGGAGCCCGTAATGTCCTTCCAGCACTACTTAATTCAACTTAGTTCAGAAGAAATTCAGTAACTAATGGCAGTCTCAGAACGCTATACCCCCAATTTTCTCCACCTGTGAAAATGGAAGTTAAGACAGATGTCATTTCAAAGGAGATATAATAGTATGTGTGTTTTCAGAGTGACCACTTTTCTAAGCAGGCTATAGTTTTGCTTTAACTAAATGAGAAAGAGATATTTGTTCTTAATCTTTTGGGATCTTTTCCCTCTACAAGTAGTTTAAATACTTCATTCTCAGCTGTTTGGAATTAGTGAACTTCTTGCAAATTGATATACTGAGAAAATCATGGATAATCTATTTTCAAAAATCTTTTAATACAATACAATTTACATGATAAATTAAGGTTTACCCACCCAGCTCAAGAAACGGATGCAAGAAATTCTGGTTGCTTTTTTCACAATGGATTTCTGGATTAGTGATTTAGTCTTCATTCTTATAACACCTGCCTTCCTCAATTATCTGCTGCTCTTTGAAGTAGCAACCAATCTGTTTGGCCATACTGGCTGCAGGTGTTGTGGGCAGTATACCAAAGATGATAGCTTCTGCTTAAAAAACCCAATGTTGTATACCCCACTGATTCTAAGATAAGCCAGTCTGCCCCAGTATCATATATGCAACTTTTAATTTTGCAAAACATTTCCCATCAATTACCTCATTTTACCTTCACAATACCCTTTGAAGTAAGTAAAGGGGTCATTATTCCACCCATTTCAGAGATAAAGGGAATGAGGCAAGGGGCTTAACATCATACATGTAGAAAAGACAGACTTATGTTTCCAATATCTTATTTATCTCCCAGCGACAGTCTCACACATGATTATATCTAACAGAATGAAATAGGGGCAATGACTACCTGAAATAATTAATTACTGTCATTAAAACTTACTTACACAAACATGTAGAAGGTATTGATAAAAACCCTATTTCTTTTCTATTGGACACCATATTAAAATTCATAGAAAGAGAAGTAGAGTTGGTACAAAACTCAAATTAGCTGGTGTTAGAAGTCCAAGACAAAAAAGCAAATAGGACTTTTACAAACAGTCTTCACTATTGCTTTGCTTAGTGTTATTAAAGATTGATAATCAATCACTGCACTTCATAATATGATTGCTATAAAATTGGTAAGTGTCATACAGGCAGCTTAAAAACTTCACTGGTTGAAAATTGGTGTGCAAATAGAAAGTTTTACAGGCTGACTTTTTTTGAGTTATTGAAGATGATTTAATTTAGTGCTTTTTTATTTCCACAGTTATCATCTAAACGGTGTATGCTCATTGTAAAAATTTCAAAACATACAGAGAAGTATAAAGGAGGAAGTAAAATTACACAAAAAATTACTAACCCCAGTGGGTTAGTTTTAACATTAAAAAAATGTTAACATTAAAAAAAATCTTTTCAAACATGATTTTACATATGGAACTATATTATAGATACTGGGCTTATTTTTTCACTCAAAAATGTAGTGTGGATAACTTTCCATGTCAACAAACAGTAATGAATATTTTAAATAATAAAACAGTATTTAATATATGAACATTCTGTATTTTACTTAACCATTTGTTCTCCAGGCCATTATTTAGGTTATTTCAAATATTTCACTATTATAAAGAAAATTGTAATGAACATTGTGGCAGGGACTACCATTTGCTTTCCAATGTTGTTCTCTCCTTCTTTGGTAATAGAACCCTAAATTTGTGGAAATATTTTTGTACAGATTAAAGATAAATTCTTAGTCTCTTTCTGTGCTATTGTGGCTATGTGGCTTATGCACTAATGAGATATAAATGGAACTGTTGGATGGAAATTCTTAGAGAGCTCCCTCAAAAGAATTAATTTAACCAGTAGGAGAGAGTTTTTAGCCTTCTTGGTGACTGGAAAGTAGATATAATGGCAAGAGTTGGGCAGCTATTTTGGATTTTGTGATAACTTCATGGATTACAAATAAAAAAAAAAAAAGAAGCCTAGATCTCTGAACTACCTCCCTCCAGACTTTTATATAAGAGAAAAATAAATTTCTATTTTGTTTAAGCTACTGTTATATAACAGTATTTATAATAAAAATTATTATAAGAAGCATTAGATATGACAGAAATTCTAGCTGATACAGAGTTTGCTTCTTAGAAGTGGAACATCACAAGTAATAAAACATGATACCTGAAGTTAGTTTTGTGGAGAAGGGGCTTTGAGGAGTAAGGTTTTTCAGATATTTTCCTGGAAACCTGGCAACTTTTATCATGCAGAGGGAAAATATTTGGCTGGTCTATTGCTTTTCTGTACCTTGGAAGGCTGACCATGTATCAATCAAGATTATAACTTCATGGAAAACTGTAGGAAAATTTTACTTTTTTAAAACCATGTTTATGGCATTTTTAAAAACTGAGATATTATAATTCCCACATTAGAATTAAATGGGTTGGCAAATGGGAGAGAGAGAAAAGAGAATAAGTTGAATAGGAAAAATATTTCTTGAGAAAAAAACAAAAGGAAGAGATAAAATATTTAAAATGCTTGCAGTGTGGGCAAATAACATTAAACCAGAATATGGGCTTGGTAGATTTTAGAAATAAAAGAGTTCATATATTTTAAAACTGCAGTTTAGAATATGGGCTTAGGAAAGCTTGGCTATATTTACTATTGAGCTCCACTCAAGCTCTTTGAAATCTTTAAATAAAAGCATGGGAAGATGATGGACTAGAGGTACATAAGGCGCATTCCTCCCACAGAATAAGATGGAAATGGGCCCACCACCATGACTGCTGTAGTCATAGGAGCCATTGTCTGGTCCCAGCATCCATCACCCATCACAGAGCAGCTCCCCACAGAGCAACAGTCCTGCGAGTGGCCCATTGCTGCAGCCACAAACTCTGCAGATGTCAGGGAGGGGGAGGCTGCAACCACCACTGCTACTACTGCTGCTGCAAGTTAACCCCACTGCTGCCAAGGACACTGCAGATGTGAGGGAGAGGCTGTAGCTGCCAGCACTGCTGCCACTGCCACAAGGTAACTGCACTGTTGCCAAAGACACTGCAGATGCAAGGAAGACAACTTCAGCTGCCAGTGCCACTTCTGTTCCCACAAGGTAACTTTGCTGCTGCCATGGACACTGCAAATGTGACAGAGGCAGTTGCAGCCACCAACGCTGCTGCTGCCACTGCTGCAAGATAATCCCACTGCCACTGTGGACATTACAGCTGTACAGGCCACTGCTACAGATGCCACAGCCAAGCAGGTGGCCAATGCAACCACTACTGCTGCAGTCACTGCCACTACCAGAGCTGCCAGGCAGCCACCATCATTGTGCGAGCAGCCCACTGATGCTGAAGCCACCATTGTCATGCAGGCAGCTGACCAAAGCCACTGCCACAGCCATCACCACTGCAAGGGTGACCTGCTACCAAAGAAGCAGCCACAGCAGCCACTGCCACGGTGCAGATGGACTCCCAACACTTGACTGCATTGACACAAGGAGGGTCACCAGCAGAGTCCAAGGAAGGAGAGTAATAGAAGAAGAAAGTACTGTACCAGATGACCAGGCATCAATATAGAGCTAGTAGAGACATGAAAAAACAAGAAAATATGAGTCCACCAAAGGAATACAATGACTCACAAGTACCAGACCCCATAGAGCAGAGACCCTTGATATGACTGAAAAGGAATTCCAAGCAACAATCTTAAGGAAACACAATGAAATACGAGAAGACACAGTTAGCCAACACAATGAACTGAGCAAAACTATCTGGGACATGAAGAAGAAAATTTACAAAGAGATCAATACTTTAAAAAGAATGTAGCAGAACTCATGGAACTGAAGGAATCATTCAATGAAATAAAAAACAAAACTGAGAGCTTAAGCAGCAGACTAGAGCAAGCAGAAGAAAGAATTTCTGATCTTGAGGACAGTCTCTTTGAAATAACTCAGACAGACAAAAAAGAAAAAAAAAGGGAAAAGAATTTTTAAAAATGAAGAAAATGTAAGAGAGATAGCAGATAACCTTAAGCACACAAATATCCAAATCACGGGGGTTCCTGAAGGAGAGGAGAAAGGAAAAGGCATTAAGAACATATCCAATGGAATAGTAACAGAAAACTTCTCAGGTATAGGGAGAGACACGACCCTTCAGATTCAGGAAGCTCAGAGATCCCCAAACAGATTCAATCCCAAAAGGTCCTCTCCAAGACAAATTATAGTCAAACTGGCAAAGCTCAAGGACAAAGAGAGAATCCTAACAATGGTGAGAAAAGTATCAAGTCACCTATAAGGAAGTCCTGTTCAGACTAACAGCAGA